ATGTGTAAATGAGAATATAGCATAAAACGTATTTCTGCTCTGTATCTTTTTGATAAAATGATACTGGCATGAATAATCCTCAGAAATTTAATTACCTGTGTAGGCAACCCTACAGCATTCAGAAAAATAAATATCTACACATTTCTAGTTTATTTACAAATCTTTCTCTGAGGAAAGAGAAAAAACCCCAAACCAACTAACCAAAAAAAACCAACCAACCAACCAACCAATCAAAAAAACCCACAAAAAACCCCAAAACCCAAACAAAACCAAACAAATAAACAAAAAAAACAGATCAAAAGCAAACCAAAACAACAGCAATAAAGAACAAAATGAAAACAAATAGAAAAAAGAAAAAACAAACAACAACAAACCCACATAATAATAATAAAAAAACCCCACACCCACCCCACCTCCATTAATTCTCTTGAAAAACAAGGGTTTAGCAGTAAACCACTGGCATTTTCTTCATAATCCTGCAATTCTAGCTAAATTCATGTGATAAAAATACAGTTGATTTTAATGTGAACAGTTTAGTACAAGGCTTTGCAAAGCCAGGGTCTGAGGATGTGTAGGAAGGGGAAATTAAAAAGTTAATTGAAAAGAAAACAGATGCTATAGGAAGATTGACAACAAAAGCCTGCAGAAAGAAAATACTAAAGCAAAGTACTACAAAGTGGGGAGAAAAAAGTATGGAATAAAAAAAGACAAAGTTTGACTTTATGTATTGTGAAATGTAGACATTCATCATAAATACATGTATCTGTCTATGTAACTCTAAAACCCACATCCATTCCATTGCATTTTTCAGTTGAAAATGATTATAGCTTAAGTGTATAGTATTTGCAATCTAACATTCTAAGTAATTTTAAATCCCCTAGGAATGATAAAGTAAAACACTACCTATTTGCCTTTTTCATACTCCGGTGCTCCCTCCTTGTGCTTCTTACTTTTCCTTGCACAAGAACTCCAGTTTAAAAAAACATTAAAATTGTCATGCTCAAATGTCAGATTTTTCAAAGCTGCACCTCCACCCTGAAGTGCTCATCTGATTTGGTCCATTAAAAATAATAATTTAAATTGGCTACAGCAAAATTTGTCTGCACCAAAATACCGGTGTGATCCAAGATGGCCTTCCTTTCTCCTCCTGCTGCAATTCAAAGTTTCTTATCTTTTCCCTAGACCTTCCAGCTGCCCGAATTACTCCATCCCTCTCTGACACCTGTCTTCTCTCTCACCTACTTTCATCCTGGGTGAGACTGGCCACACATCCCAACTGCAGAAAACTCCACAGATGTTTGCAATAGGCATATCCAAATTTTTGCTAGGTACAGGATAATTTTGAAGCACAAACCTCTTTTAAAATAAGTAGAAATATCAAAGTGAAAACCAAAGTTAAGAGCAGGAAAATCTATACCAGCAGAAAAGAAAAGAAAAAGAAATTAATTCTTCTGATAAACCTTGTTTGCCATTCCTTGCAAATACTTTGCAAGAAATATTGGATATTGTGCTGTCCAAAGAGGCTCCATACCCAGTGAAGGACGTGGCCTTATTGATGTCTTGTTTTTACTTTCACCTCAGTAGTGGCAGAGATTGTATCAGAAAGTTTTAAAAGCAAAATAGAGGTTAGATCCATTTTCGATACTCTAAATTAAAAGAATAAATGAATCACCCAACTGTAGTTAATGGGCAATTAACATAATTCTGGTCCGGTGTAGCTGAAAGATAATGAAAAAGCTGATTGCAAATGAACCAGCAGTAATGTGGGAGGTCATAATAGTCCCATAACTCTGAATGAGAAACCAATTTCTCCTCTAACACTTGGTGCTTTGATTGGTGAAGGGCTTTATCATACTATGAAATTTGCCTGTGATAGTATGAGACATAAAAAGAAAAGGTTCTGCTGTGTAAATGGTGGATGGCTTACAGAACAGGTACCCTGAGCTACTGCATGAGCCCACACTAGCTATCATAAACTAGAGGGTAATTAGAAGTGCAGTAGTGAATTGAGAGGAGAGAAGCATATATCTGAGTAATGAGCTCACAAGTGTACCACAGCAGGGCAACAACGCACCAGGGGAAATGCAGCAGGGCATCAGACTCTGTTCCAGCCTAGAGACTGGATGTGCTGATGCCCTCTGACTTTGGCCCACCTCCTGGATACGATGTAATATCTTCTTTGTGCTCAATTTGTTCTTAGTTAAGGAGGGGGTAATGGGGTGGGATGAATTCCACCCACAATGCTTCTCTCATTCCCTCTACTTACCATCTATGTCCTGATCCTATTAAAACTTAAGATCTTGTTCAGCAAACTGTCATCAGATAAAGTAAATTACATTTTATGCTAGTGGTAATGCTCTCAAAATCAAGAGAACAATTGAGTCTAGGGCAAGGACCGTCTCTTTTCCTAGAATTTTAAGTAAATCTATATTTAGCCCCTTCGTGGCTTTTGAGGGGAGAAAAAGGTAATCATGTTAGAACACTGTAATGGTAAATGAATGTACATCCTAGAAGCAGATGGCACATTAATAGGGTACAGACACACACAGAAAAAGAACGAACCCTCCAAAATGTTATTTTTCTTTGGCATTTTTCATCACTGTTCCTATGTCTTTTCTACCAGGCTCAATATAATGATGATAGATTTAACAGAGAAGACTTGTCCCTAGTGCTCTATTTACGTTGTGACAAAGCAATAGGTTATTGCTGCATTATGCACAATGTAAAAAGTAAATAGATAAAGTGACAGTGTTTAACACTCAGAAATATTTAGCATAACACTTGAGATGCGAGGATTACAAACAATGTTTTTAGGTAGACTTTTACATCATCTTTTGAACCGCTGTCCTATTGCTAAACTGAGGGGTAACAGAAGTCACTAAGTCATTTGAGATGACCTGACCTTTTTGGTGTGTAGAGATGCGTGGAACTCCTATGTGGGAGCACTGATGCACAAACCTCCAAGGAGTGAGTGCTAGAGTAGATACCTGTAGCTCCTTCACACTGAGTAGACCTCCCATCTTTGTAGTGCCCATAAGGTAGCAGAGTACTGGGGTCAACATGGAAAAAGCATATACACCAAATAAAATATTATTAACCTTCCTGCCTAGCCATCCAAAAAAACCCTCTCAGATAGAGTTTCAAGAAATACTTGTTGGAATAACGCTGAAGGTATCATTATTTGACTACCTATAAATATTAGTAATAGCTTAAGAAAGAGTAGGCAGTAAATTTGATCCACTTGGGAAAGCCAACATGGCTTTTATAATGGACAGTCTTGTCTTCCAAATTTACTGTAGTTCTCTAAAGAGATTGACTTGAGTGAATGATGTGTGAATGTGTTAACTCCGTTGGCATAATTTACTTGGATTTCTAAAGGTCTTCTAAAAAATCCTTCAATAGAAAGTTTTTAAGGAAGCTGAGCAGTGATGGGATAAAGGAAAAGGTTCCTGCATGTATAAGTAACTATTTAAAGAATAGAAAACAGAGGGAAAGTGAATTAATAATTTTTGCAATAGAGCGTGTTTCACCCTTGGAGTTCCAGTGGGATCTGAGCTGGTAACTGGGGTAGTCAATGCATTCAAAAATTATTTGGGAAAGTGGGTGAGTAGGGAGTTCAGGAAGTTTGATGAGGATACAGAGCTATTCAAGATAACAAGGGCAAGCAGCGACCAAATAAACCTGCAGAGAAACCTTGTAAGTCTGAGTGACTGGGCAATTAAATGACAAATGAAATTCACTGTAGATAAATGGAAAGCAATGCACATGGGAAAACCAATTCTAACTCCACATATTAATATGATGTAGTTGATCATTACTACTTAGGAGATAGATCTGGGGTTATGACAGATAGTCCTATGAAAATGTCAGCCTGATGCTTAATAGCAGTCAAGAAGGCAAGTCAAATGTTAGAAAACATTAGGAAATAAATGAAGAACAAAACAGAGAATATCACTGTGCTGCTACAGAAAACCATCACTCAACCCCACACTGAACAGTGTGTGCTGAATACTGTCAGGTCCCCTTTTTTCAAAAATAATACAGGTAAAACAGAAAATTTCAGAGGAAAGCAACAAAAAATATCAAAGTTGCAGAGCAGCCATTATTTTAAGAAAAAATACTCAGCAATTACAACAGAAGATGCTAGCACACTTAGTCCTGAAAAAAAGGATGACCTATAAGAATATGATAGAAATCTGAGAAATCAGGAACACCTGGACCCTTCCCACATGAGAACTAGGGAACATCAAATGAAGATATTAAGAACCACATCCAAAACAAACACAAGCACTTCTTCATACAATAATAGTAGACTTGTGAAAATCATTGCCTAATGATAATCTGGATGAAGGGAATAAAAGGGGAAACTAAACAAGTAGATTAATCACCTACTGAGAGCTACCAAAACATAATGACTACATCTATTCAGGATGAACATAGCTGGAGTCTGAAGAGCAGCAACAGCAAATATCATGCAGAGACAGTGCTGAGCCTAGATGGGCCTTTGGTCTTAGTAATAGTTCTTAATATGATCTTACATTCTTCTGAAAGATTGCTGCATCTGGGATATTCAAAACGTGGTTGACTAACTAAGATGAGGGAGGAAAAATGAGGGAATGAATAACATATGTGTTATACAATTCAGACAAATGGTAGGTATCTCGAACTTTATGCCAATACGAATTAAGGATAACTAGTAGCTGGCAGAAGGCAATGCACAGTTTAGAGAAGTAGTCCCTTTAAGTAAATTATATAGTTTCAGATATTTCTTCTTAACTCACATGAATCAATCTATTTTCTTTGATTACTGTAACAGGACATTTCTTATACCAGAGGGAGAGACTTTTCCTCCTTCTACTCTCAAATGAATTATGACAGAGATCACCTTATCTAGTGATCTGGGACAATTTGCCAGGATCTCCAATAATCTTCCACTGTAGTCACTACCTTAAAGAAATATTTATACTTTGTTCACTATAATGAAATCTGAATTATTTCAGGTAATGATGCCAACTGGGAAAGAAGAAAAGGACCTAAATTTGAAAGAAGACTGGGAAGGCAGGGGGGCTATATAAAAGACGCTTAAATAAATTGCTATAAAGATGGCATCACCAGATGGAGCTGTTACTTACACTCTTCTAAATGCTTCTCCTTTGCATCCAAGGACCTTCTCAGTTTTAAGACTTTATATATTGCATAATTTTGTGAAATAATTTCTGTGTTCCAAAATATGGCAAATAGCAGGGAAGACTGCTCTCTGTCCTAGTATCTCCAACAGAGCTGCTATTCTGGGAATTCTTGTTGCTTTCTCAGGGTTTGTCAATGAAGACATCACCTGAGCCCTTTCTACTCTTTATTCAAAGAGACTATTACATGACAGTGGAAATAAAGTATCCTGCACCACGACTACAACCAGTGCCTACCACACTGATTTCGCCCTGCAGTGGTAAGCTTACCTGCAGGGCTTAAACGTCGCATGTTGCTTTGGCAGAAAGACAAGCAGCTACAGCTGATCCACACATAACCTTATCGATTGTATCTCTCCTCTCCCAGGCTTTCCAGAACAGTGCTTGAAATGGGAGCCTCTCTGCCATTTTTCTTTCTATAGATCTGTTTATTCTTTCTGTTATCAGTGCTCCCAATATGCATTATCTCTGTACATTATCAGCCACAGCAAAGCGAAAAGAAGAAAAGCTTTGCCTTTAAAATATTTAACTTAAAACCCCAGTTATCTGATCCAAAGCTTTGGCTCTTTCCCAGGGAAGAGAGCAACCTTCAGTTTATTGCCCATAGAAGAGCCTATTCTTATTAATCAAGGCACCTCGGCACCTCATTCAGTGAAAAGCCATGCTTGGGGAAGCTGACCTGATTGCTACCTCTGAGGATCGAGGGGTGCTGGACTGTATTTAAAGAGGCTATCACAACCTTGGCAAAAATTGTTTCCTCTTTGTTAAATTCTTGTCTGTACCAGACACTATCACGGGGCTTTAAATTCCACTTTGGAATTCTATTTTTAGAGCTCAAGTGGTATTTATATGGTGCTTCAACCTGACACGAGCTCTCTGCACAAGGCTGAATTTAGCCTTGCATGCACTCACTGCTGAAGCTGCTGACTATGATAAACCCAGAAGGGTTTGCTCTACATGTGTCTAATAGGCTACTATGTACCAGAAATGTAGGACTTCCATGATGGCTAAAATTTCACCAAATGCTTGCAACACATTAACGATGACAAATTATGTTTCTAAGTTCACATTTTGTTGTCAATGGTGTCTGTACTTCATTACTGACTGTTACAGAAAAATACCAAACCCTTGTTTTAAGAATAAATGAAATAAGATTCCCAGATTTTTTTTACAGCTAAGAAAAAGTCCCCTTTTCAGTCTGGTGTTTGGTCATGCTGTCATCAGCCCTGGCTCTCTTCACTGGCACTCTCTTCTCTAAATTTTGAGCTGTTGGCCAACTTGAACAAATAGGCAGAAGAGCACAGGGGAAGAGGTCTCATGGATATTAGACTCCCTTGGGCTTCATTACATAGAGGAGAGAGAGTACTAATATCACACTGACAGAAATATGCTGAACCTGTATTAGACGGTAGAGAAGGCAAACAGGAGTAGATGAAGACATAAATATAATAGAAAATTAGATGCTGTTGATTTTGTTGCTCATGGATAACATGGTAATGTGGGGGAACAGATACACAGGAGATCAAGACCTGCTTACTCACAATGTTGTGAGTTTTGTGTGTTTTGGTGTTTGTTGCTTCAGCTGCAGGTGCAAAGTGGGCAGCCATAAATGCCCCTTAATATAAAAATATAGATTAAAAAACCAGTCCTAAGTGTCTTGCCCAAATTCAGTCAGTGATGGAAACAATTATATACGTTGCTTCAAACTGTCTGGCCCTGATAAATTTCTGTTCAAAGGCTGAGCTGGGGTAATGAAAAATATTCCCAGGATGTTCTCAATTTCATAACTACACATTAGCTATAAGCAAAAAAAAAAACTCCAAACCCTAGAAACAAAACACAAAATGAAACCAAACAACTCACAGTAGTAGAATAAAGCAATGAAGAATGACAAAACCGATGAAGAAATCCACAATGTGTTTGCCTGTGCCTCACAGTAATTAATGCTTTTTGAGATATTAGATAAACTTTTCTTTGTTGTAATAGAAACAGATTTCCCAGATCTCCTATTTCAACTCTCAAGCTCCACCTTTTCTCAGCTTTGTCTGAAATTAGTCATATTTTCTACCACTTTAATAAACGTGGAATACAATTTGGAAATTATCTGTTTGCATCAGCACTGGCAATGAACAATAGCTCAAATTTTGAGAGTCAAGGCTTCAATAATAAGGCCTGATTTTCTTAGCAATCAGATGCATACACACGCGTACACACACACGCACGCACGCACACCACATGTCTTTGTGAATAGGGCCCAAAACAGCTGCAACCTTCCAGAAATTAATTGGATTCTGGATCATTTGCATTTTTATATAGTTTACCAACAAAAGATGGAGATAGCAAGTTTATTAATGTGAAAAAAGAGAGACAGAGGGAAAGAGAGAGAGGGAGGGAAAGTGAATGTTTTGGTTGAGCCACTAATCCAAATTTTAATACACATAGTGCCTATTCACCTTATAATACTTCAGCAGATCCTCCAAGGTGGAAATTGATATGCAGGTCTAAACTGCAGGCAGCTGTTAAGGACTCCTACTGATGCCTAGGGCCTTTACAGTTCCTCATCTGGGTAGACATTATGATTTGATAATGGCCATATTCAGACAACACCCAAGGCAATTCTAGGATTTGCTGTCACAATAGACACACTGAAAATAAAGTCAGTGTAAATAGATTAAGAAATTGACAGAATAACAAGGCAGAAAGAATTAGAATGAATACACAAATGGCAGATGACAACTCAATGTATTGTGATACAGAGATGGGATAAGGAAAGTGGAGCTGGAGGATTTATCTTCTGCCAGTATGCCTTCAACCTGCTTCCTGCCAGTGTGGATGCCTATTTCATTGAAAACTGAAATCTTTATTACAAGATTTCTTATCTCTCTTGTTGTCTATTGAAAAAACTTCCTTTCTGCTCAATTGAAAGCGAAAGCTCCTGAAAACTCCTGATCCATATGTCCAAGAGAGCTTCAGTTTTTCCAAGTAGTCATCTAGTGACCAGTGGGTAAAATTGACCCTCTTTTTACTTGGGAATAGGAAGAAAATACTGACTTGATATTCAGAGTACAGTGTGACCCTGAATTCCGATGGAAGTTGGTGTGAACACTGCATGACAAGGTGGTAACCAGGGCATTATATTATGTGATTCATTTCCGGATTTCTTAGAAATGCTTGTGCTTAGGTGTTTGTGAGGTTTAGTGCATGAACTTTTCTGTGGAGTCCTTTATTTGATGCCTTTGGGCTGAGGGGGACTATGAATAGATGGAATTCAGTTTATTCACTTTTATTGTGATTGCAACTTCATCACAGCCAAAACCAGCTCCTAGCTTTGCTCAACCCCGCCTGAAAAACCAAATCATACCTGAGTAAAGAAGGTACCAGACCAATTCCTATAATACAGAATATGAGTTTATATGTGCAGAAGAACTGTGGATATTGAATAGTTTCTTGGTTGGTCTCTGTACGATAGACCCAGAGCACATGCAGCGATGGAATATCAAGCAGTGACATCTCCAACAGGTTGTTGGGTGAAGAAGGAACTAGAACTCCTATAAGGATGAAAACGAAACTCAGCGCTGTGTAAGTGCTCAGCTGGACAAGGATCCTGTGAACTTCAATTCTGTGTTAGTGCACCTGCCATTGCCAGACCTGGTGCACAGCTTTCCTGGGGAACAAAAGCTGGTTCGGAGCACACAGGAAAGCAAGGCAGTAGCACTGCACAGGGCTGGTCTATAGCAGCAAGTGGCTATTTACATAGCAGTAAAATGCCATCTACTTTCACTATGTCAGAGCTTTAGGCAGCAAGATTGGCCTATAAGGAGACACTGCAGTAAGAGGTGCTGCTGGGAGGAAGAAGGAAAGAGTAACTTTGACCCCCTGGGGCTACATGAGCAGAAAGTTGTGCCCTCAGCTATCCAGCCCAGCTCCACCTTCTCCTGCAAGCCCTTTCCTATTTAGATATTTTGCTAAAATCACTGAGAAACCTTGAGATAACTCTCATGTTTGAACAACGCAAATCCCGAACCCTCAGTGCAGGATATTCAACCAACACATCTTGAGTAATCTGGAGGGAGTGTAGACTCATTTTGAGTAAAATAATTATTTTTGCTTGAATTCATGGGAATTAACGCAGTGCTTGAGTGCTGTGTTGAATCAGGGACAAAATTATATGTGTCTTGCATAAATAATAATTAAATCTTTATGACTTTATATGTCTATTATCTTGTATGGATCTTGTGAATGTAACAGTTCCATCTAATTCTGAAACAATGCAATAGAACAACTTTGAACTTTCATTTTCTTACCTCTTTCTTTTTTTCCTCCTGCCCCATTTCTTTTGTCTAGTAAGGAGTCTCCCTGATTTTCCTACATTTCCTGGGGTTTGTTTTCCTTCTGCATAAAGTTTGACCAATTCTTTTATATACGTTTTGATCACAGTCCATAATTATATTATATATCCTCCTTTTTTTTTTCCTTTGTTTCTTTTTTTCTTTGCTCTCCTCCTTCAGGTGTTATTTTTATTCCTCTTTCTTTGTGTGTTCTCAACCACTTTTGTTTCATGCTCTCTCATTCTTCTCTTTCTCTGATTAATTTACACTGAGCATCTGACTCTATTCCTCTCTCTTAATCTGTCCTTCAAGGTTAGAGGAAGAGATAAGATGATGGTATGACCAGAGAAAGCAGAAATCAGGCATCAAGGATAAAATGGGCTGAATGTCACAGAGCCTTCAAGTATGAGGAAGAACAAGTTAGAGTAACAAATATTAAAAGAAGAGGATGCAAGGGAAAGTTCATAAAGAACATGGAAAAAGGATTGAAAACAAGGTCAGTGAGGGAAAAACTGCAGTGCTACTAGTTCTATTCACAAGTTCAGTGTTCCCTGATTTTTGAAGGACCCAAAGCTGCAAGGAGTAGAGAGCCCCATTTAGCCTTAAATCAATCCTGTTAAAAGGAATACCTTGATTACAGTTAGCTTGCCAGAATTTAGAAATGAGACAGGAACATGGCCAACATTCTTCTGGCTGAATACACAGATATTAGCGAGACATATTATGGAATGATAAAGTATCTAAGTGCACCAGGCCCTTATTTATCTAACTTTTGTTAACCTTTGCAGAAAGCTTGCCAAAGTATTCTGGTAGTACTGGAAAGCCAAGTAATAGTCTTATAACCAGGCAACATTTTGCATGGCACAAATAACTATATTTGTACTGCCTAGGGACTTTGTAATTTCCTGCTTTTGAGACAGTCAAGAAATATGAGAAGTGTAAGATTGAAATCCTGGCCTCACTCAAGTTAAAGGCAATATATTCATTTAAATTCCTGTAGTGCAGCCACTTTCCAGCTAAAAGGGTGCTGACGAAATGTTGCCTGTGTGAACATATCTAATTTAGATGGTTTTAAAAAGCACCAGAGGAGAAAACACAGAAAGCTGATGAATATTAGGGCAGGAGTGATAGGAAAATTACAGATAGAACAAGATCATGAAAGGACTAGGGCTATAAAGGGTGGATGAGAGAGCATATCCATATAAGACTCTAAAAGGAACACAGGAGAGTCAAAATTGTCAGGCACTGCAGATGAAGCGAAAAGGAGGACAGACACAATGAGAACTTGGAGCCATTCTAGGCAAAGCAGAACTTGTTGCTACCAAATGGGCTGAACTGAGGGCTGTGGCAGCAGAGAGTGAAGCTCAGGATGTCTGGAAAGAGAGGTATTCTGTGGCTGTGCTTGGGAATCTGGCACAATATTACCATAGCTTTGCATCTATTTACTTTGTAGCTATAAAATATATTTTGTTTCCAGAAAGTATCAAACTTACAATATTCAGGATCTATAGCACTCATTTTCTGTATTTCAAGGATGCCACATCTGAACCCTGCCTGGAGACTTCCTTCTCCAGAATGAGAAGACAACACCAGGGGCACCTCTCCTCACGTGAAAAGCTGTATTTCACCTGTTAAATATCTTACAATGCTTCTCCAAGCAGAAATACAAATATTTGACTGCTGCTTCACTAGGCAATAGAAATGTGTTTTCTTCTTCTCTGTAGTGAGAAAGCAATAATAAAGCACTTATTTCATTCTCTGAGAGGCAGCAAGAGGGAGAAGCAGTTGCATGACCAAAACCAAATCCCGATAACAGAGAACGGTATTTGATATTAATTTTCTATTGTCTTCTCAAAACTCGTTTAAATTCCTGATGGATAGGTCCTCCGCTTCTCCTTTTGGGATTACCCTCCATTATTCCTAATGTCCTTTTCTTAATTTTGTATTTGCTTTACAAATAAGGTAATTTTTCTTTCTCCGTAGCCTTTACATCCTATAAAAATTTAAAACTTGTTATATTTCATCTCAGTTACTGTTTCCCTAAGTTGCTTACACTTGATCATTTTTTTTTTCATGCAAGTTCATCTTCCTGTTATCATTCTCTGGATTTGCTTTAGTTTATCAGCTGCATTCTAGCAATGTGATTAATCAAAAACATATCTAGTATTCTATCCAGGCTACAGCAGAACTACACAGAGAGGGCTATTAAGACAGATCTCAGTGATGCACAGCTTTCACACAGGCAGCCTGAAATTTTGCTACGCTTCATTGCGACTGTGTCATGTTACATATGCATGTTTAATTTTCTGTTCACTATTGCCCTTTAACACTATGTAAGACAGTGACATAAGGCTATTCAGCTGGTTTACGCTCTTTCTGAGGACTGCTTGAATGCTAGTAATGATGTCATTAAAAAAATATGAGATCTGAATTGGACTGTGGACTTTACCCAGAAATTACAATTTTATTTTCTTTTCTTTGTAAGCTGTTTATATATATATATATATATATCCTTTTGCAGCTAACAGTTTCACTTAATGGAAACAGGATTTTGCTTTGCAAAGTTTGAAGAAAGCCCACTTAGGACTTTAGTTACCCAAAATATGGAAGTTTTGCTAATTAGGAAACAATTCTAATGCTCCAATGGACATGGCTAATTCAAAGTGCACTTGTTAAAGATTAGAAGTTAAAGATCAAAATCAGAATAGTATGTAGGCTTTGTAAGAAGTTAATGCTGCGCTTTCCTGGGACATCATCAGCAGTACATTTCCTACTCAACTGCACCTCAGGAAATCTTCCATTATCCCCATATCATCACTGGCGAATCAGAGCTCAAGTCAGTCCAGCATTTTAATTATTTGGGAAGCATCATCTCCTTGGATAGTAAAACTGACAAAGAGATAGACAACAGGTTAGCGAAGGCATACAGAGCTTTCAGTAAACTCCATAAAAGAGTTTGGTGAAACAAACACTTGAAGAAAAGTACAAAGATCAGCATTTACAGAGCCATTGTACTGTCTACTCTTTTATATGGATCTGAATCATGGGTCATTTACCGGCACCACTTGCGTCTCTTAGAACGCTTCCATCAGCGCTGCCTCTCATACAATCCCAAACATCCACTGGATGTGACCAACACGTCTGTCCTTGAACAGGCAGCAGTCACGAGCATTGAGGCCATGCTGCTGAGAACACAGCTGTGCTGGGCAGGGCACGTCTCCAGGATGCAGGACTACCGCCTCCCTAAGATCGTGCTCTATGGGGAACTTGCCACTGGCTGCTGCAAGAGAGGAGCCCCGAAGAGGAGATACAAGGACTGCCTGAAACAATCCCTCAGCCTTGGCCATATTGATCACCACCATTGGTCTACCCTGGCCTCTAATCGGGAGGCCTGGGACACACCATCTATAACGCTGCTGCTGCTTTTGAGAACACACGCAGGATCACTCTCAAGGAGAAAAGACAGCGCAGAAAGAACAGTGTCTTGCCAATACCATCTAAGGAGACTTTCCTCTGTGCCTTTTGCAACTCGGACTTGTCTATCTTGCATTGGCCTTTTTAGCCATCAGCACCCTTGTAGCAAGTGTGGGTAGAGCCCTTCTCAAATCTTTGTTCGTGAAGCCTAGCCATGATGATGATCAACAGTACATTGTTTCTTGTAGAAGTGAGACCTGTGGTACTAGATGTCTACATAAGATCTTCAGAAATGCACTTGATCAGGAGAAAATACTCCATAAATAAATAAATATGTATAAATTATTTCAAGTAGAGTGTTGCTGTCTTTTAGATGCACAAAGTAGGACCTGCCTGTAACAATCTGCCAATGGGAAATCTCCACTATAGTGTAGTATTAGTATTTCATTAGTAATTATAAATCATTCTGGGGTAAAAGATGAGAAGGAGCTGAGATGGAATATTTTTTCTTTCAGTACCTTTGTTCTACTATTCTGCAAAATAGGGGATGTTCTAGCAGCATGGCTGATTGCCTTGAGAAGATGTGACAGCAACAAGGGTAAGTGTACCTATATTACTGCTAAATTAGTTTTCCTCAACAGCGTGAAAAACATAAGCTACTCACGTTTGCCTGGGACCCATGGCATATAGTAAGGTGGCTAATTTTACGTGGAAGTCTAATTCACATTCTGCTTCATTTCACTGCTGTTATTAAAGTTACGGTTGCTCAGGAAGCAATTAGTCCTTCTTGTTGCAATATAGACACTGCAAGTAGCAGAGAGCGAAACACAGTCCTTGATCAGTCAGTCCTTCCTTGATTCTTGTCACAGCTTCTCCTACACTAACTTTGTACCTCGAATGCTAACAGTTGCATAGCAGGAGAAATGCCTTTGAGCTGCATATTCCCTTCCTTTCAGATAAAGAAGATAGGATCAGCTTGAGACACTGCAGATCAGAAACTTACAGTGCAATGTCAGCTAATTACATAGTGTTTATAAATAATTTTCAGATAATGGATACCATGGAATTCTGATTATTGTTGGTTCTTTAATCTGGTTTAAAATTGATAAAGCTAACACAAGCAAAGCCATCTTTCCCACAGATTTAGAAACTGGGTTTGTGCATAAACTAGGCTTAAACCAAGTCTGACCTTATTAGTACTGGCAGCCCAACCCACATTCAAATCAAAACTGCATGGAGTAGTAAGTTTTTATCCCAAAGTAATAAACAGTAATAAAAACTATAGCAAGACACATACATACACACGTCCCTGTCACAACACATATACGTTGTGTCCTAGGCATAGTCTTAATCTATATCTAACTTTTTTAGTAGTCACAAAGCACCTTACAGTCATTACTAGAACCATTAATTTAAGTATCAGCATTGTCTGGATGTACTGTTCTGTTACAGTGCCTAGGATGTCCATGCAACCATTGATTTAAGAGACAATATCACTTGCTTCCAAGTTTATGAGGCAATAAACAGCTTCCGCATATTGATGAATGCGGAGGTGTTTGCTCAGCACATTTGCAGGAGTCGTTTATTACCCAAGTGCTGTGCTTTAAAAGCAAATGAAATTGTAACTATTCTCATTTCTTCTGTTGGGGGAAGGGAGAAAAATACTGTTGTTTTTAATTTGTTCCTCCACTTTCCCTTCTCCTGTGACTCATTAAAATGACTGACACAGCCGTGGACGTTTCCCTCATCTGTGCAGTTGACGACTACAGTCATTTTTTCTTTGGTGACTTTGCATGAGACTACTTTTGAACAGGGTGCAATTGTCAGAATACCAGAGAGACATGACTAAGATTATTCCTTCGTGCTTTATTACCCTATTATCCCCTTCCAAAGGATTAAGTTAGCTCATCAGCATAGCTACTTAGAGTTACTAACTCTACAATAATATTCATTGCTCTGCCCATACAATACAAGAATGAAATAATTTTTAATCTGCAGAATTGGATCATGCAAATGCAAGGGATTAAAAGATGAGCCTTTGGCTTGTACACCTGGTAAAACACTTCTTGGAATCTAAACTCCTTTGAAGTATATGATACTGGGAAGGAAAAGAGAGTGGAGGAAAGAGATGAAATTGCAAAGCTGCATGCCAACTGAGTTGTTATGAGGATGCCAGACAGAGAGAGCAAACCGTGAAAAATGTATTAAATTATCAAAACCACAAAACTGATTTATAGCTGCTGTAATTTCTCCTTTGCTTTTTGTTCCCATAAGAAGTATGTCAGGGACAATATTTTCTTACAAGAAAAAAAATGTTTCTAGCTGTTATTAAAAGTTATACAAACATATTTTAATTATTTTATTTTACTAGGTTGGGAATTAAAACAGAAAGACAATTTAAATAAAAGTTAGTATACAAAATGTAAGAAGTAAACAAATATTTTCCAAAATTCTTGAGGTGAATGGGTCATTGAATCTTCTGGCTTGTATGAAAAGTCTTTAATCTAAATAGTTGCCTATTTGTTATTTAAAGAAGATGATGTTTGAAATTTCTAGCAGAGCAGATGATTCCTTTCTTATCCTTACATTGTGACATTAGGGAAAAAATATTAACTTGAAATATTTTATAATGCTCATTTAACTTGCCTCATTGTTTGCCTCATTATGTTCTTTTCTAATTTAAGACTCAGATATTCAAACTTGCATTCAGTTATATAAACCTGTTCACATGAGTAGTGCCATTAAAATCAATGGGACACATTCTTAGGACAAGCCAGTCATTAGCAATGTTACACCAGTAGGTTGTGAAAGGTCATTCTTCTCTATCCTTTTTGAAAAATGCCATCAGTCCATTTAAAGGTGTAAAAATTGTAATATTAATAACTATTTCTTATATTTAATAGAAGAAGAACTTTAATTGGTTGTACTTAACTAGCTCTTAATACTTTACACTCTTAGCAAGTAACATACCTGCTTTAATCCATATACTTGGGCTTTTCTATTATAGCCCTTTTTAATACTCTTTCTGATCCTTTCAGTTGTCCTGAATCGTCATCTTGCCTTGATTTTTCCCTTCATTCTTATTTGACAGAGTGATTTTTTTATGGGGAATTTAAGGGAGCTTATGGGGATAACAGGTTATGCTGACATCCATTCAGCCTTCGTGTCCTGTGCTGATTCATTGCAAACAGCCAGACTCCAGTTTGTCCTTGCAGTCCTTTGCCTTCCTATTGCTGTGGGCTAAAGGGTAGCCCGTGTAAGTGAGTTGGACCACAGTAGCATCTTTTTCACTTACAAGTCAGTTGGTAAGATCTAGTTTACGTTATTATCTGGGAAAAATTATGTTACCATAGATTATGAATTGCGGAAATTAGAAGCAACAAGTCTTCTGACAGGTTCTGACGACCTCACTGACTGCTGCTTGGGTGATTTATTGGGGCAGGATAAGGGTGGCCGTCTAAAACCATATATTTAGATTCTGTTTTAATGTACCCAAACTGTCTGCAAAAATTGTATTGCAGAAAGTTAAGGAACTGAAATTAATGTTCTTCCATGCTTATTTTAAATAATGGATGTGTGGAATTTTGAAATTGGAATTACTTAAAAAAGCCATGGCAATAATGGATAGAGCCTGTGCTTCAGTCTGGAAACAAAAGTGAAAATTTGTGTCATCATAAAATGTTCAAGTTAGATATGCTTAGCTCAAGTGTGAAACAAAGTAGTGGGAAAGAATGTTTCCTATATAGAGGTTTTTATGTATTCTGTTCTATAACAATTGGACTAGTTTTGAGAATAAATATAGGAAGAAAATTCAATTTCTCAGTAAAATTTACTTCATAATTTTCTCTACTGTTAACAATTTTATCTGAATGTCTCTACAGAAGTTCATAAAGTTCATAGTAGCCTTGACTAAGGTCCATGCACGACCACATTGTCTGCTGGTCTGGGTATGACAATGATTTGCTAAGAAAGGAAGTAGGAAGAAATGGTGACATAAACAAAAATAAGGCATCTGTCTGATTTAATGGACATAAAGAACAAAAGTAAATAGCAATATCTAATAGCACTAGACTACATTGTCTAATAAAGAAATTTAAACTAAAAATATAAAGTAATTCCTTATCAACATAGCAAGAAAGAATCAAGCCTGACAGTACATGCTGCAGATAATGTATAACATATAACAAAGACATAGAATTAAATCAACAGAGTATATGATTTTTAAAAAAATATTTTAAAAAAGTTATTTCTTTTTTTCTTTATTTAGGTTGTCATTGAGGAAGAAAACAGCGTATAATCTTGCTGTTCTAGTTTTGGGGGTTTATCTTTTTAAGATTTTCTGTACAGGAAAGCTCAAGAAGAATTACTTTGTTTTCAAAAGATGTTTTCAAAATAACTACTGCCTCCTATTTTTCTTTTTGGTCACCGTATTTGATTTTTTTCCCAAAGCAATGGGAACAAAGTAAAGTTGCCTTGAGGAGGAATTACAGAAGCTTTTGACACCACGTGCCTGAGAGAAAAAACAACAAAGAGCAAATGGGGATAGAGACTAGTCTTTGTTAGTAAGGACTGTTATCCACATCCCATGGAGGAAAGTGGGTGATGACAGTTATTTTGGAAAAGACATTCTGAGTGTTAGGGCAGTTGTCTCTGTCCCACTGAAAAACTAGGACATGGCAATGATTTTGAGAGAGGATACATTTTTTTTTGAAAGGATATAATGTGGCAGCTTCCACTGGAGGAAATTTCAGAAGTGTATACCAGCAAATAAGGCACTTTTCCTTCCATATTTTCTCTACTAAGGGTCTCCGATATGAACAATGCGTTGTACTCAGTAACCTTTGATTGCACGGAAAGTGTTGAAAGCCTATAATACTTTATGTGAAGGTTATTAGGGCTTCCCAAAAAAACTCATGTTGAGTGACTAATTGCTAGCAGCACACATATTTCTAATTAATTATAACACAAATTATTCAGATACTCTCTTTCATTGTCTGAAAATTCATAAGTAAGCTTTGCCATTTGCATATGCTGTTTGGCCCAAGGGACATGTTAGCGCTGGCAGTGAAAGAAAACCAGGAAGCACTTTTGTTAAAAGGAGAAAGGAATGATGCAATCAGGTCTGCTCTCTGATGCAGTTTTACTGACTTACTGAAAACACATGCAATCCTGTATCTCCAAACACAAAACAAACCTAGGTGATATTCACACTCATGATTGCCAAGTTTGCCTTTCCAGTCTGTTCTGTGCCCCAGAGTGCTTTTCTTTCCTCTGTTCCCTGTTAAAGCCAAACAAGCACCTTGTACCTCTACCTGTAGTTGGTGAACTCAGACTTCTAATTAGTCCCTAACATGAAGCCTTTTGCTAGTGAAAGAAACTCCTAATCTTTCCAAGTGTTTAATTGGTATAAAGAGCCTTAATCAAGCCTTCCCTTCAGCCAGATTTAGGGGTGTTTAGCACCCTTACTTGGAGATGCAATGGCCTGGAGATCACAGGCTTACTTGACAGAAGCCACTAACACTTTCCAACACAGCAATATTGTACCCAGCTACAATAGCAGGTATGATTTAATTTTAAATCCCTTTTGTTCCTGCAGGG